GAAACAGTTAGTCCATTTTGCTAGTTAATTAACTACTATGGGATTCTGTATTCTGCAATAACCCGTTGCATCATAAAAAGAAACTGCTAATACAAATACTAATTATACACAGTTATCACAGCAATTACTTTAACCCCACAACTATGTTTGTTGGAGTAGGTTAAGCGTTCGCACTTTTTTAACGCAAAAGCAGAGGCGCACGAAATAAAAATATAACAAAAAAAATAACAATTTTATGTCTTTAACACCAACAATAGCGTGGTAGTATTTCGTATATGTTTAGTTTACCCTTATATTATATTTAAACGTAGATATTTCAGGCCCATACTTGGTAAATCGAAATATAGTCGACCACATAAAACCGTGAAGAAACGAATCGAGGTTCATTGTATCCACAAGAGATGTTTGTGGAACACTTATATCAGCATACGTTTATTTGACAAACATAGATAAGACACTGTTTTAGTCTGTGCTGTAATTGGCGCCCAATCCAGTGATACTAAAGATTCAAATGTTATTGGGCTCAAAGTGGAATTTTCCATGAATTCTATGAGATCTGATCTTTCATTCAACATCTTGCTGTTTTATTTATATTCATGGGAACACGGTTTCTTATTTTGCCACGCATGGCGATCTACGTCAAAGCTCTCCCCGCTTTTTTCGTTTATAAAGGACCCCACACCCACTAGAAGCACTTGTAGTGCAGGGATGGCCAACCAGTGAGAGACCAAGAGCTGCATTTCGTAATTTAATACGCGAAGAGCCATATTATAAACCAGAACACACATGAACATCAGATATACCTTTATTCAGCTCTGCTAGAATGCTAGTTTATTGTAAATGTTACAAACCAACATGATTATGACAGAAATTTACAAGCTATTTATTATTATGCATGCTACTTAGTGGGACTATTGGTATGCCGCTGTAGCCAGTCGACGCAGTTCTTTCACTTGGGTGTCAGTCAGAACAAACACTGACAATACCCTATGCGCAGCTCGTTTGACATTGGCGTTTTTTCCCATTGGCATGCTTTTCCATAACTCAATGGTGCCTTCCCTTAATTTAAAGCGCATTTACGTCTCAGAATTAAATGAGTCGTCGACGACGAAGGGCTAATCTGTGACGTTTTATCTGCATTTCATTTACTTCACCCAAATGGTAATTTCTGGCAGAACTACGATTACGACAGCCGTTGTAGTGCAATGAGTGCGTCTCACAGCAAAGAATTTAATTGTGACGTAATGATTACGATTGCATGGTGAAGTGAATAAAGTTGTATCTACGACGTAAAAGAAGAATGCACGAGGAATCATAATATGTTTGATCGAAATTGATAAATCGTAGTTTGCAACTTATTTTTTCCCTAATTAAAATAACCAAGGTCAAAGAGTCGTATGAAACTGGTTCAAGAGCCTCATGCAGCTCGCGAGCCGCGGATTGACAACTCCTGTTGTAGTACTATAATATAATCACAGATACGATAGTGCTACATAATTCCAGCTTTGTCCAGGATATAGTTCTGAAGAAATTATGGGTAAAATATTTAGTTTTGTCTTCCGTGTGCATATATTTGAGCATTGGTCCCTTGCATTACATAGATGGTACAACCGCATGCAAATCATTTATTGCAATATTTCAAATAATTATTTAATATACGATCCACCAACCAAAACCGAAAATAATTTTTACACGTTTCATAAATCTATTAATTTTCCGAATACACTACCTCGATTTCAATTAAATGAAACTATAGTTCATAGCTTCCTATGCCTCGAGGTAATCAGCGAGTTAGGTCGCACTTGCGTCAGGGCAAGTCTAAATCATTTAAAATTCGAGTTCATCTCCAACCATGATTTTTAGTGATTTTATACGTTTTTTTCTCGGTTTTGCCTGTCGAATACGTTATCATCCTCATTACTGTTCGCTTTGAATCTATTCAGTTCAGTTGAGTGATCCAACCTAAATTGATATTTAATTTTCTCTCTCTCTCTTTGTTAATCAACTCATGACTTTTCAACTAAACCTCTACTTCCACTCTTACTCCTAGCCAGTAGAGATTTATTACAATCACCCTCCTTGTCTGTCTGTTTTCTAGTAATGTAGCTCTATCTTATTTACTCAAATATATTGTCAGGCTATTATTTAATTCGTGAACTTAGTTCTGTCCTTCATAATGCAATTTGTTATTTAAATACTCTTGTGCTAATATACTTTGAATAAATGTATTCTTCTAACGCATGGGCCTTAGATTAATCGACGATCATCAGGTGATGGTTTCGTTTCTTATCGCACTTTGTTTGCTCTGAAATATCATAGCATCGGGGTCACGCAGACTAACGTTTATTTTGCGTGACACCAAGGCATTTATGTAAGCATCTACAGTATATTGATTTTAATACCTGACTGAGCAAAACTTTTAAAATCTACAAGATATCGTAAATTCACATACAGGAAGAACATTTATGTCTCAATATATATAAAAAAAATTCTTTTACAATTTCCCGTTGAACTTCGTATTAAACATTCTTGTATTTTATTCATCATTGGTTTATTTTCGGTATAAAAATTCGCTCAATTCCGTATGACAAATAGGAATGATATCCGAGTCTATCGGTTGTTGAAAAGTTACTCGTGTAGATGTGATGTGTACAAGTGTCATGATATAGCCAATCGTGGGTTTAAATAGAGTATATATATAAAACTAATGGTATGAGAAGTGTTATATCATGTATTTCTCAATTTTACGGTGAAAGTGTTCTCGCGGAATAAAAAAAGTAGAAGAACCCATGAGGAAATAAGCAAGTACTAAAAATTGGAATCGATTGCTGCCTTCAAAATTCTGTCCACGAATTTTTTTACTTTTTGTAATACTCTTATTTTTTGTTCATATTCAATGCCTCTATTTCCTACAAGAGTTTAAACAAATGAAGTATAAAATGATTCCACTCTCAGCCGTTCTCTGTCTGTCATCGGAAGTTCAGATTGATGTTTCGTTTCCATGGCAGGACCGAATATGCGCGCCGACCTTTGGGAAATTTCCACTTTATTACAATTTGCCGGCATTTTCTCTTCAAATAAGTCAAATATTAAAATTTCTAATACGCTCACTTTCGCAGAAGAAAATAGCCTGCTCCTTCGAAAAATCCAGTTCCTATCTCTATAATCCATAAACTGGTAAAGCCTTGGAAATATCATTGAACATTTTTTTAATCAATATCCGCAGTTCAATCACACGCAAGGGATGTCGACGAGGCGCTCAGCGATCAAACGAACTGGCGATTTTGGTAACCTGTTCAATGCAGTAGGCTGCTGGTACAGAAACACCCCCGTATTGCCCGGCAGCAACTCTGAATTGTAGCGGGCCTCGAATATTAGCGGAGATCTAAACCACCGTCGACTCGTTTGACTTTTCTGAGATAACCATGTCGTTTTGTAGTCTCGCAGATTTATTGGAAATTTATGTTTTAAGCCAAGCGTCACGTCAAATCAGTTGCGTAAAATTAATTTTAAACTTGAATCAACTAACGACTCAAACGCTGTATCTGACTTCCAATCTTTACATCAACATTGTGTACATGAATCTGTCGTGTACACACCTCTGGCATTCAGTCAAAGTCTACCGGTCTAATTAGTTCGGGTTTTAGTAGGCTGTCAAAGAAACAATGTCGAGACTAGTAAATTGTCTCTGCGCGCAGTTTGTCTCAGCTATGAGCTTTGCGAGTCAGTAGGCATCAGAAAAAGCTTGCGCACTCATATTCAACCATTCCAATACCATCTCCCGTGAATGTTCTCACACTGTTACAATACGTTTAATGTGACGAATTTTTTATTATTTACAATGTGAAAGTGAACTGAAATAATATTGAAATTTGGTAGAAAATCAATAAAACAATAGAAAACGTTTGCTATCTCAACTGGGTCGGGTTAACTCAGCCGAAAATCATATTTCTGACGCAATTAATCGTGATCATGAAATTGAGTGAATCGAAAAATCTCAGTCTGTAAAAAATTAAAATGAATGAAAGCTATAGTCCCGAAGGCAACAGGGTAATTTCATCATAATGAAAGTTTCGAAGTCTACTTTTAAAGCTCCAAGCCCTGCCCATTTTATGGGTATTTTCAAACTTATTTTTTTATGTCAACCATTAAGCCCTAAAGCTTTACTCATGGCTTTTTAAAAGCGTCTGCTAGAGTTCTATTCAGCAATATATATTTAAAACACACTTCTCGAAAAACATTTTTGCAAAAAAATTTCAAAAATTTCTAAAAAGAAATTGGACTTTGAGGTATTCTGTGTACAGTAGAGGGTTAATAATTATATCATAATTAATTAAATTTTTCTTCAACGTTTTTTCCTAACATAACCATACCAAAACGACTATTATAGCATAAATGGTTATTACTCTGAAATACACAATTGTATTTACAGTATTGTCAAGTTCAAGGTCAAATTACCGATACTGATGACGTCACAGCTCTTATTATTACTGCACAGACCACCCCCAATGCAGAAAAATTAAATTTTTTCGACGGAAATGCGCGTAGAACGGCGTAAACAATCCCATACGCGCATTTACGCGTTAAAATTACCATTAATTTTACGTTTTTTTTACATACAAAAAATCTCCATACCTCTGCCAACTATGGAGCAGTCGAAATCATATTTATCAAAACAACACAGCGCCAGGGATAGTTAGTATGACTGAAAATACATGCTAAAACAATAATAAGTGGTTATAAAGGAGTATCTCCTGTCTGAGCTGAGTCGACATTTTCAGACGTCTGACAGGTGATTTTGAAATCCAGGTTATTTATACGATTCGCACTTTGCGTCACGGCTGGAAGGTTTTATCGCTTCTCTCATATCAGGGCATTACGTCGATAAACAGCTAAGAGCGATATTGACCCTATAAGTACCGAAATTTGAGAACTATAGTGAAGTAAACCCATATGGGCGTTCCGACTGTAGAAAGAAGGGTTAACAAAATAATTGATTAACAATTTGGAAAACAAACTACTATATGTGTTTAATCGTTTACGCGATTAGCTTGCTTCGGAATACCCACGAGTCCTATATTAAGCTTTTTGTAATCATTAGTATGTACATATGCAAGATAATGGAAAGTATATCTATTATCAACTTATTCAACTGCCCTCTCAAATTCCCTTTTCCTCGCTTCCAATTCTGACATTTCCGGAGGTTCTATCTAAATACAAAAAATGGCATGTAAAATTTTTTAAACTTTGGAAGTGCTTGAATAAATATTAATTGACTTAACGAACTTTATGTTCCAGTATTCATAAGAGCTAAAAACAAATTACAACATAGATGGATTAGATTACTTATAAAATTTGTCGCCGCCAATACTTCAATTTAAATAACGCGAAAACAGCAAATTTTTTCAACACATAGCACCTCATATTGATTAAGCATATAATTTTCAGCTCCAATGCGTTATAGCAGGCATGTGCAAACTGCGGCCCACAATGCCCGCGAAAATATGACCAGTTTTGAACAGTGTGCCCGCGAAACGAATTTTTAGGTTTAGTTATTCTGGTACGTGCGAAGAGCACCAATCTCTTTGCATCGCAAAGCCTGTACCAGTATCTGAATGCCACTGCTATATTAGCAAAACTAACTAGCAATATCCTGTCGTAAAATACACAATGTAATTAAAACGTATTTTTCACTGAATTCGTTTAAAGTCGGTGTGACATAAATTTGAACAGCAGTTTCTTCAGTTATTTATGCGTTTCAACTAACCATTTCCGCCCCTAACAATGCCGTAAGATCAATACGAAAAAGAAAATTTTTTTTGTCTGCAACTACTAGAAAGGCTATATCTTAAATGAAGGTGCTGACCGCGGCTTCACCCAGTTACTTTTATCCGGCCCTCCTGTAATAAAGGTTGCACATCCCTGGGTTATAAAATCACCAACAATTTCAACGAGAACAAAGTTCAACAAACATAGAGTTCGCGTACAATTGTTATTAGAACTTCTTCGAACAACCGTTTTAGGTAAAAATCATTAAAATTTATGGATGGCAACTTTATGAACAATTACCTTGTTTATGTCCAACCATTGAAGGATTTCAGTCACTTTGCTCATTATTGATTCTCTTTGTTGTCTTGTTAGATGTTTTTGATCCAGTCCGTCCTTTACGCTGTACGCGTAATCTTCAAGCTCATTTCTTGCGTCACTTCTCTGTTTTAACTCTTGGTCCTTTTTTCTAAACTTTTCTGCTTCCTGTACCTTCATAGAGAATGATAAATAAGAGATTCAGACTTACTTTCTTGTGCTAACATTGAAACTCATGTTTGTGTAATGCACGGTTTCTGTCTGGCTGCAATTTAGACTGAACAATTTTAAAACCATTTCATTTCATATATTTACATATATGTTTCTATTACACTATTGAAAATAATATCGTACATGTAAAATGTTGAGATATTGGCAGTTTGTTCCATAAACCCCTATTTGGAAATTAACGTAATTATTATGCGAATATTTTGCAGTCCAATTTCTCGTATTTGTTTATATAATTGGCAATTTTGTAAGCGTTCAAGAAATTTAATAGATATATTACCATTCGTTTTATCTCGCTCTTACTCAATCGTCCTTTGTCTCTTGCGATCGTTATTTCACTTGAATTTTCAGTGATTTCCTCAATCGCTTTGACATGGAGAATTCCACTCGTGCTGATTTCAAGAACCACTTCAATTTTTCCCTCACTCCTTGGTGCGGGTGGAATTCCCGATATTGTGAATTCCCCAAGAAAATGATTATCTTTGGCCAAAGTGCGCTCACCTTCATATATCTGTGCAATATTAATATCATACTTATGAATTGTATAGTTCGATTAATATACCCAATATAGTTTGTGACATTTTAGGTATACTCACCTTCAATGTCCCTCTTTCTTGGTTATCTTCCGTGGTATACCAGGTTCTCCATACTTTGGTTGGAATCTTCGTGTTTCGTGGAATAGCAAAAGCCATTGTTCCTCCATGATTTTGGATGCCAATAGAAAGCGGACTAACATCTTCAAGAGCGAATTCCTTTAGCTGAGATAATTGAAATGTCATTTGACTGTTAATAATTTAACAGTATTATTTTTTCTCAACTTTTGGAATATAAAATTTTCTTGTCTTAGCGCCAGAGTAAGGATTCATAACTTAGCCAAACAAGCCGATATCACTGAATATGCATTCTTGTATTTCGTGAAATGTCTCTACTATATCATTAGTTTTAGCATTTCATCTTCATCTCCTGGTGAAAGCGTTCTCCCCAAACGTGCTGAATTTCATTAAATTATTTGCCTTGACTTTTTGTACGCATGGGGACATCGAAGACAAGAAATTAATACAAAAAAAAAAAAGTTTAAGCGAATTTTAACCGGTGCAATGTTCAAAAATCTACTTTATCAGATTCCCATATTTGGAAGGGCAATCAATTAAGTAGCTCAGCCCCAGCGGGCGCGATAAATGGCTGGTGAAAAATTTGGTTCAATTGTGGAAATTTATTAAGAAACGATTACTTACTACAGGATCTTTTATAGAACCAAGTGCAGACGCGTATACGGCTGCACCATAAGCAACTGCTTCGTCGAGATTGATAGTTCTTTTAAGCTCGATGTTGTCAAAATACTTTTCCAACATTTCTTGAATTTTTGGAATTCGCGTTGAGCCTCCGACAAGAACAACATCGTCAATCTAAAAAAATAGTGAAATCGTAATTTTGCAATATGATAGCAATTTCCAAAATGTATATAAATTACCATTGTAGACAAAATATTATTTGTATTGCTCACATGGCAATTCAAACGCTACAAATATTGTAGATCAGAGGTGTGCAACCTTTAATACAGGAGGGCCAGATGCAAATAACTGAGTGAAACCGCGGAACGCACCTCTATTTAGCATAGGCTTGCTAGTAGTTGCAGGCACAATGACTAAATTATGACATGCATTGTTCGATTAGCACAATTTAGCTGTTAACGTCATAGGCATAGGTTATAAATTGGACTCAGGTATAGTCTTCGCGGTTAAAGAGAAAAATGGTTCATGTTTCAACATCAGTTACATCAATAAAAATATATGTTTTCATGACGAGCCACAAATCCACTTCGTGTGCAATCACTGCGTTAAAGTAAAGTCGGCTACTAAATTTTACAAGGAATAAAATATTTTGAATATGCTAATGCTTCGCGCGCATCTCACGTTTTCCCTTTTGAGTCCAGAATCAGAAAGAGTATTCTTCACGGTATCAAGAACTCTCTCAAAAAAATTGTGGTTCAGATTTTCGAATTTTGCTCGTGAAATACTGCTGCGAAAATCGTATCCGCCATGCAGAGCATCGACTTGAACCCTTTGGAAGCGAAATGACGACATAAGTAGTTTCAGACATTTAAATCCAATATAATAAGTATGTATTTTGGGAAATTGTTTTTAAATCATTTTAGAGTCATTTAGTTAAGGTTTATATAGGTTGTAAATGAAGCATGATATTAAACGAAATTTCTTTTCATTTTTTATTGTAGTGAAATAGCAAATATGTATTTAAGTCTTTACTTCATGTTTTTATTCGCACTGTAGTGAATTGATCAATTGAGTTGGCAATATCAAATCAGAAAGTTTCCTGTCGTTGCGAAAGTATGTAGCTCTGTGCGGAGTGTGGTCGTGAAAACTTCTCATAAAGAAGAAATCCACAAGTGCTTGTCTTGAAAGATGATAAAATAACGTATAACATACTTAGCATTTGTAGACGAAGACAATTTTCTTTTTGCTGCCTCACACGCCACTCGGAGACGATGCAATGCTCTTTTATTTTCTGATATATCGTCACCGTGTTGTTTCTTGAACTCCGAAACAAAATATTCCACAAGTATGTTATCAAAGTCCTCACCTACATATATATAGAGAGAGACATAAGTTACATATTGTGCAAAATTTCAACTAAATGATAATCATAATAATAGCCTACTAAACCTATTTTTTACCTTTATAGTTATGAATTTACATAAAGGGACTACTTGTACTGTTTATTTGGAGCAAATTCAGCGAGTTAGCAAGTATTTTCGACGACGACACCGTACAGTTGGGGCAGCGACTTTCTTCCCACTCTCCATACTAAGCCCAATGATTTTGAAAGTATCGATTATTGTACTTCTCGGATTCCACAAAAAGTTCAAAAACTATGCTTGAAAGACGGAAACGTAACCCTCCAGTCAACGCTTCAATATTAACCAGATTAAAGGTAGGATAAAACTTAGCAAATCTATGATCCACATACCTCTCATTTCCCATAAAAATATATTGTATGACCCATTCGTTGAAAAAGCTTCGTCAACCATGTTATACGCTATACGGTATGTATTATCATACGCATAAAATGTGTTTGTATCTTACCCCCCAAGTGAGTGTCTCCACCCGTAGCTTTCACGTCAAACTTGTGGCCTTTAATTTTCACGATGGTAACATCGAAAGTGCCTCCTCCAAGATCAAATATGAGAACATTCCGTTCATTTTCGCTCTGTGTGATAAGAATTGGTTGTATTTATAGATTCAAAACTAGCACGTTATGTACAAACTAATAGCTCGAATGAATAGTGATCAAAAGTACAGATATTCAGTGAAGAATTAAAGAAAAATGATAAGCAACTAATCTAGTTGCATATACAGCCAATCGAATGGGCATACACAGCCAACATATATGCACGTGAAGCCAACCAATATCTATGTACAACTGAGTATAATCAACCAATCAAATATGCAAATTTAGTATGCATTCACAATACTCCGACTAATTGAGGCTGGTAAAGCGATATAAAAATACAGCTAAAATATTTATATTCAGTCAACTGAAATACAATATTATACAGTCATTATATTGATGTATATTCCATGTACAATTTAATAAATAGCTAAGAAAGTGATGTACACATACATTTTAAATTTTATTGGACTGCATTTGTGTCATGGAAAAAGTCAAAATTTTACCAAGTTTTCGATAATCTACATAAAGTAGTCTGAAATATAGAAATTTTGACATAATCGACATGTTTTGTAATGACTCGCAAGTCGCAACAAAGTGTGTGATTGTCTGGTACAGTTATTTCATTTTAAATACACTAGATCAGGGGTGGGCAACTTCTCTAGTCGGGGGGACGGATGTGGAAAAATGAAGTCCTCGGTGGGCAGGAATATTACAAAAAATAATTTAGTATCCAATCTTTGTTAAAGGCTCGACACTTTCTGTCAACTTTAGGTTTCTTGGGATATTCCATGGTTGATAAAATTAATGTAAAATCTATTTATATTTAGAATCTAATAACAGTAGTGATAGCAGTAGTGGGGAATGTTTTACAAGCTCTATGCTTTGACCTTATATTGTTTGTTTAACAAGTGTGCTAACGCAATTGTTTGTTCACTAAAGCAATTGTTTATTTCACCAGCTCGCACTGACAGTGCGGAGAGAGTAGAGCGATCGGCAACTTTCATGAATGATGCGTCGAACCTGGAGCCGGCCCGCGGGCCGTATGTTGCCCATCCCTGCACTAGATGCACCCAAGTTAATAAATCTTAAGTGTTTCCAGTGATGTTTAAAAATTAGAAATTCTCACGAAACAGCTTATACAGCAGGTATATGTACATAATAAGTTGGATTCATATGTATATATATGACTTTGTATGTACTTTACTTGAATGGCTGTGAATATGTATATTGAGTTGTCTGTATGTGCACATCAGTAATCAGTAGTTTATTTTATCCACCATACATGAAGTACCATACACTAACTAATACAGTATGTAAAAAGTGGCGAAACTGGTAAGCCGAGGTGGAAAGGAGTCGCGAGAAACCAGGACTGGTTATCGAGAAGCGACACCCGTGAAAAAACCTAACAGTAATTGATAATAGCATAAAAAAGTAGAAAAACTAGCAAGAGAATATAGGAAGAAATTACAATCGAGGCGACCTGATTTTCCAGGAGGCGCCCGATACACAGAAACAAATAAACGACTCCTAGCACCAATGTTCAAGTTACCATGGAAACAGCAGCAAGAGTGCAATGCGACGACAAAGTACTACTCATTGCCGTTACGGTGTTGCTCATAATGGATCGTGACGCCGGTGGTTGTTGGACGGAAATTTTCATATATATCTCATGCGAGTAAGAATGCCTTTAAGAAGGCGTAATACCAGTCGGAGGTGTTTGCGAGTGTTTAGGTAAGGTGCTGGAATCGTCATAAGTTATTAGAATACATAACATATAGAAAAAAATATATAATCTGAGGAGAACAAATTCCCTTAATAAAATAAATGGGAGTAACGTAGCAATAAGTAGCATTGTGAGTTGGCTACTTGACATTTTCTTTTTTATGTACACCACTTTTATGATTGTACATGTATATTTAGTTGACTATATATTCTGTGTATGTTGTACATTACTTTAATGGCTGTATACATTATTGAATTCGTTGTGTATGCATATAAAATTGGCTGTACAATACATGTATGTGACATTGGCTGTATATGCATATGGCTATAGCCCGCCCTGTAGCTCTATAGGTCTATGGCATTGGCTCTATGACTATAGGAGTTGGCCATACATGCGTATTTTTGACTTTATATGTTCAACGTTTGTTTTATTTATATGCAGCAAATTGGATAGGCATACAGCCAATCCAATAAAATAGAGATCTTTTGAAACATGTACAAACGGTTGAATAGGAAATAGCGATTGCATTACCAGTCTATCCAGTCCATACGCCACAGCGGCCGCAGTTGGTTCGTTGATCATGCCAATAACGTTGAGACCTGCTATTACCCCAGCATCACCAGTTGCTTTACGTTGGGCATCATTGAAATATGCAGGGACTGTAATGACTGCATCAGTTACGGTTTCACCCAAGAATGCCTCAGCTGCGTTTTTCATATATTCCAGAACCATCGCACTTATTTGTTCTGGACTGAATACATTTCTTTTGTGGCCATGCACAACCTGAAATTAAAATAGCATGAAATTAAAATGATTACTGTTAGATCTCCAGCGCCGTTAGTGTCTCTTTCTTCATAGCTGACACGTATTGCACCTTTCCGTGTTTATTACGTCACAAACGTGTCATTGCATTCCTCGCATTTAGGTGTTTCTTTATTATCTGTAGACCAAGCGGACGAAGAAGAATGCTGTCTAGTTCAATTTGCTTATTACTTATCCATCTTATGATCGGTAAGTATGTTGATAGGTAATTGTCTGTCTGTTTGTTTGTTTGTCTGTTAGATGAACGCGATGTCTCACGAAGGCGAGGTTGAATCTGCTCCAAATTTTGCATGTGCATTCATCATATCTCGGACGCCTTTTGATTTTGGATGCATTATGTCGCATAATTAGCGAGTTATCAATTAATTAGTGATGGGACACGCGGTGTCACTATAGAGTCATGAATCGAAAGCGCGGTTTCGATCGATGAGTCTTCGGTCTCCGACCGATATTCTCGTTTTCATCTTTATCGTAATTGCCCTGCGTTAGAACTGAAACTGTAAAATTCGTGCAGCTAGTTTGTTCTTGCAATGCTTTACTCCTAAGGCAGTGTAGCATTAGGAAGAGCTGTATCATATTGATTATAGTGGACTAATTGTGATCTCCTTTGTTTTATTCCTATTTAACTTGCTAGTAGTTTAATTTTTGCTGCATTGAACTCTGGATTATTGAACTGCAATTTGTGAATCTGTCCTGCATTTTAATTGTTTGTGAAATATTCCTGGTGAGTTTCCCGTATTTCATTGCATCTGACTTGGTATGTAGTATTTGGATGAAACACTGTTGGTATTGTATTTATTGCCACAACTAATGCCGTAGGGTTCAATACTGTTACCGTATTGCTTATTTGATCATGTTTATTTCAGTGCTCTGCAGTTACATAACAGATTCGATTTATTGTTTGCCTTTGCTAAAACAGTCGGTGAGCAATATAATTTGTTTGCATGTTGGGTATTTATGCGGCAAATTCCTAGTATTTATAGTGTATTTTGTTTTCTTTAGAAAACATCTATCTCTATCTGTATTCGTCATCTGTTTCCTTAATCCATTTGGCTTCATCTGACATCTCGATTGTATATTTTGTGCCGAGCAAGTTCTTGGTGATTTTACGACACATTGCAATTCTCCAGTTTTTGAAGTTGCGTATTGTGGGTTTGTTTACTTCAGCTTGCTTATCTCAGTTATAAGACAGGGATAATTTGGAGAGGATTGTCTGGACTGGACATAGATTAATATTGCTGTATTGGGATAGAGATGGGTCGTCCAACCTTTTTGGCCGGAGGGCCACATGTAATTTACTAATAATTGCGCGGGCCACTTAATATGGTAGTTAGTTCTAGTGGTAGTTAGTTCTAGTTTTGCTACACTGTCTACGGGTTAATGAAAAAATACCCTCACACCAAACTTTCCCAATTATTAGAACAATAAAACTGTTGTTTCCCAATCGTTTATGGGCGCCATCAGTGGTTATTCCCGAAAGTTTCGCCAAAGACAAGCCAAGACGCTTGGTCATTTTTATCACAGCTCCCAACAAATTAATGCCTATGGTCGAAGGGGACAATGACTGCAAGCTCTTCGGTAACTTCAAAATCATTGTTAACTTCCCACACGAAGATCGCCGAGCAGTAGACTTTATGTCTGTGTTTTCGTCAAGCGCCAAGGAATACAATAAAACAATTAGTGTTTGTGCCCCCACCAGGTTTATTCAAGTAATATTTTGTTAGTGATACATTTGAACGAGAGACCACGTGATAAAATAGAAGAAGCTTGTCTCACAGATAAGATAATGTCATATAGAGAATAGGTTCTCAAAGTGCTCCGTACGGAGCCCCCGGGCTCCGTGAGAGAAACCCAGAGGCTCCGCGAGCTAATCGATTACTTTTCAAAATACTGAATTGGCTAATTTTACTATTAGGATTACTAAAATGAAAGAAATAACATAAGAAAGAAAGAAAAATGAAAGAAATAACATTCTGAAATAACATAAAATACGCGATAAACTGCCAACTATACATAACTTGCTGTCGTATTTTTGCAATCTTGGGATTTGTCAAGCTTGATTTTGTTCTTTCGCACTCACGAGCAAGATATCGCCGTTTAAAAAATCAAGAGGTCGGGGCAAAATACGAAAGATTGAAATTATTTTTCATTGCACGCGGCTCCGTCGGTAGTTTCAGAATGGAAAAATAGGTACACCGCGCGCACAATTGACTGTGTTTCGGTTTCGCAGTTACTACGACGAATAACCAAAGATAACCCAACTTAACATCAAATTTTGTGATTTACAATGTCTATGAAAGCGTTTTTAATCTGACGTGAGTCTGCTGAAACAAAACTTACAGTGTTATCTCCCATTTTAAGTTTTAGTTTTGATATTTTAGAATGCCGCTTTTCAATCAAGAAATTTGAGTTGCGGATTTACCTCTTTATTACTTATTATTTTTAGCATTTCGTCTCCGATGACTATAAAATGGTAACGTGTTTTTCACATTAAACTCATAATTCCCCACGAGAACAAAAAAGCAATACTCGTCGTCATTGTGGAACAATTCATGTATATGTCGGGGGGAAATTTATGATTTAGGAAGAATAAACACCGCTATGCTGACGAAAACAATCGGCGATCGTAACAAAATGCAATCGAGTACGTTATTAGCGGCCTTTTAAGTCTATCAAAAATGTCTAAAGGGAAAAGTTCCGACCCCTAATTTATTAATATGTTTGTCAAGTGTCAAATATACAGCTTTAGTATATATAATTTATCTTTGACATTTAGATTCATTTATGACTTGTATTAACCCTATTAAAAGAGGTTTAGCATTTAAAATAAGTGCAGTACTTTTAACTTACTCAGAAATATTATTCGGAAAGTAACAATTTTAACATTTATTTTGGGGCTCCGTGAATAATAGTCAACTTTTTCAAGTGCTCCGCAACACAAAAAGTTTGAGAACCTCTGATATAGAGTAATAAAAAGTCAAGCGTGTGTGTGTAAGCGACTATGGCACCTTTATGTATCGATATATTGTCCCAGTTGGTTTCGATTCAACATGGTTCTCATGGCTCGTTTGAAAGGTTTAGCGCATTTCAGAAAAATAAATCGTTTGCATCACATCTTTGTATACTACATCACTCGAAAAATACTATCTCATTTTTTTCATTCAATTCCGAAAATACTGCGCGGGCCACTATAAATGCTTCTGCGGGTCACATATGGCCCGCGGGGCACGGGTTGGACAACCCTGGGAGAGAGCGTTTAGACTGCAAAATATTGGCGCACGGTCTTTCGTCTTTGTGTAGCCGGCAGGGTGCAAGGTCACACCCCGTCAAGCTTCTACAATTACAACTTGATTATGAATGATATAATACTCTTTATATGGCTTTCAATGGTTACTTACCGATATCTTAGGCTTGTTATCATCGTTTATAACGGTGAATCCCCACAATTTCATATCAGCTTGAACCGAAGGGTCATCATATGTTCGTCCAATCAAACGTTTAATTTCTGAAATTATGATAAACACTGTGTGAGTAAATACAGTTGTGCATCCTAAAAACATACACTGCTACGTAAGAAGCTACTGTTTTCAAGCGGACCTCAATCCATCACGTTTTGCATTACCTATCAAATTTATTACACACTGAGTAAAGTGCACGAAGTATGAACCCGATATTTATCCCCGATGATACTCACATAGTTAGGGCGCACGACAAAGATATATTATTTTACAATTCACAGGATAGAGTGAAAGTTTATTATTTTAGATTTCAAATTTGCTACGAAGGTTATTAAAAGAAATTAGTCAAAGAAATATTTACGGTAAAGAGTATTCTCGAAATATTCCGTCGCCTCTTCTTTAGCTGCTTCGCCAACAAGTCTTTCATTCTCTGGGAACGAGACATAGGACGGAGTAACTCGATTTCCAAGATCATTCGCGATAATTTCAGACTGTGGAATGAAAAGGAAATTGTAATGAATGCAGTAAGCCAAGTTAAGTTTTCTAGGTCAGGAGATAAGTTATTCCGTAATGATTTTTTTGCAAATTTCAAACCGTTACAAGACAAATTGCAAACAATAATTAGATTATTATCAAGAGAGCAATGCTGAAAAATGGAGAAACGAATACGTCTTACATGTGCTAAATTTCATATGTAAGTGTGCTCGTGTTCTATAACCGCCACTTTGTGCCCAGTAATTATAAATAGTTGATATTATATATGATCCAAATCCTTCAGATTGAAGTAGTCATAGCATAAATTTGAATGATTCATGAAATATTTAATCCATGAAGTTGACAGATGTTGGTTGTAATATTTGTAATATTGGTTCATTCAGTTTGTCTATTCTTGAAAGTTGAAGTAAATCGTTATGACAAGGTATTTGAAACATCGGACTTTTGAGAATAGTCCTTGGGATTTCATCCTTATAAGTTACTTTTTTAAGCTTTATTGTTTGGGATGATGAATCCTCAAAAAATATACTATCCATATAACATTCAATTTCCCTCGGCAAAAAAATGCCATTTCAATATGCCTCATATTCTTTCTCATTTATCAACTCTTTCGGCACTGCTGCGGCATAATCAGCAAAGCATTAACATACCCTTCCATTCCGGAAAACTGCCACGCAAGAGTTTGTAGTCCCTAAGTCAATTCCTATCGCTGACATAATTTCGTTCGATTATAGTAAGTAAATTCATATGTGAAATAAATGCTGTACTAAAAATATTTAATATAAATTCAGTTGTAGTTGAGTTTCTTTAATTTACTTTGACATTATGGGTCTACACAATAGTTTTTACAGTTATTACAAAATCGATTTCCGCCCAAACCTCTGCATTCGAAGAGGATAACCGTTTGTAGTGGCAATAATCGTGCAAAGAAAATTATTTCTCTTTTACACAATTAATAGTTAATTAATTAATTGCACTCTTTATACTAGCTCGTATTTTCATTAAACTTTTTGTGTGTGCTGTACATTCGACTCACGTTATATTAAGAACATGATTGGTGGCCCCCAAGAAAAATTGTGCGGCCCGCGGAGAAGTAACAATTTTGAATGATGTGCCCGCGCAACGAGTTTTGAGTTTACTTAATCTGCTACGTGCGAGCATTTTCAATCCTTTTGCGTCGCAAAGCCTTTACCAGTGCCACTGTCATATTACCAAACCGAGTTAGCAAAATCCTGTTGCAAAATACACGATGTTATAGAATCGTGTTTCTCATCGAATTCGTTTAAAGTCGGCGTGACAATAAATTTGAAATGCTGTTTTCTTTAGAAATTTATGCCTTTTAACTCACCATTTTTGCAAGGACGCCTAATAATTCCTTTAAGATCAATAACAAAAAGTTACAATTTTTGTGTCTGCAAATACTAGAAAGGCTAACTAAAAAAATGTGCGGTCCATGACTTCACCCAGTTGCTTGTATCTGGCCCTCCTATAATAAAGGTTGCACGACCCTGATTTAAACTTAACCTTGTTTCAGAATATACAGTACTTGATTCCATTGATTATTCTTTAATCATAAGTACTTTTAAAATTGACATCTTTTGCCTTCACTGGATATTCATTTCGACAAACCTCTTTGTTCATCTGCTTTCTAGTGATGTTTTTCTATATGTTTAACTCGTATATTTATCGTCAGGCTAATAAAACTGAGGAATTTCTATTTAAACAGCAGTATCTAATGGGAATGTCTTTTGTCATCTAAGGCTTATTGTATTTTATTACTCTACCATTTTAAATACCCTTTTTCAGACGTTAGAGTATTCTTTTCAAGCATGGGCCAAATACCGACCATCAGATTGTTTTCAATCGCTTTTAGTTTGAACTTTTTATTTAAATTTGCTCTAAGAAATTTCACGAGCACTCACTCTGAGCGAATGTATGGGCGATCGCTTGAGTGCCACGAATTACATTAACTATAAAATATTATTGGCGTAAGCAAATACCGATTAACGCGAAACGTAAGTAGTTCATGTCAATACTATCGGGAAAACAGCTGTGATATAATAAATTCTCCATAACTGAATTTCCTGAAAAAGCCATGGGCATAAGGATATACACTGCCATTAAAAGGATGAGAGTTCACAGCCGACTAAATGCTTTTTTGAAGAGATAGGTTCGATGCTAAAATATATGAACATTTATATCAGTGGTTCTCAACCGTCCGCGGCAACCTTGCTGCCGGCCCGCCAAATATATTCCAATATTAATATATTATAAGAAAATTGTAAAATACAAAGTATAAGTAACGACATGTCCATTAGTTTTGTGATTTTTCTTAACTCTTATTGATTTGTAGTACTGGTATTCGTCTAACAACCAAACTTGGCGAGAGGTCCTCTGTCAATTTAAGCCCTGAAAAGCTGGATGTCTATGACCTCGTAACGGCGGCTAACGTCAAAACGGGGGAATTAGATGGCACATAGTACGGTACCTGATTGAGAACTTCGCAGTTCTCACGTTCCGTAATTTGACAGTAGGCCTATAATTTAGCAAGGTTTGATTGTAAAATATAGGCAAACAAACAGCAAAGTGTTATCCGGTTCTTTCAAACGAAACCCAGCGGTATAAACCAAGTTAGTGGTGTTGACAGGACAGAGGAAGAGACTGCTACTTCAACTTTACAACATGCCCCGAAACGACCTCGCAGCAATGTTGATATGGGTCACGCAGAAACAAGAAAAAACGAAAGAGAGACTTTATTAGGCGGTATGTTAAGAAGTATACGGGCTAGGTTTCACTATTGCTCTCAGCAGCGAAAAAGTACCGCTTCCCGTGTGCCTAGTCTGCGCCAAAATTCTTTCAAATGATACAATGAAACCCGCGAAGCTAACGAAATCGTGTGGAAATCAACGCTCTACTTCGCCTTGCAGCAACTTCAATAAAACCGCGTTTAACACGTGGCCTATAATATCAAAAAGACAGTACCAAATTTCTCATTGAATTGGATTGACTTCTTTTGCACCGCTTACTTTTGTCGTAATTGCATTCTTTTGATTATGTTTTGTGTTCATGGCATTTTTGATTAATTTTTGTTTGTTAAAATTTGTTTTGAAATTTTACCGGTCCTCGAACTGAAAAAGGTCGAGTTTACTGCTTTATATTACTTCTAAATTACCTCTATATAACATCAGGTACAATGAAATCAAATATTAAAACTTGTAATATAGTCCACAAAATTTATAAGCTTGTAATATTATGGTATTTAAATAAATATGACTTGCAGCATACGTGGATACTTCTGTGAAACTAACCATAAGTTTTATTTGTGAGAACTTTTTACAAATAAATTGGGCGATTTAAAAACCAACAAAACAAGCAGGTTATCGGTGGTCGATTGGCCCATGCTTGGAAGGAATGCTCTTACTTGGAATAAGTTTAAATAACAAATCGTAAAGTGAGACATAGTTTTATAGTTACAAATTAAATAATCAAGACAAACTCATTTTATTCTGCTATAAAATACAACCGATCATAGATGACCAAGTAAGTTTTTAGATTAAGTTGATACTGTTGTCCACATATAAATATCACAGCATTTGGATGTTCTGGATATAAATAAGGTAAAACTTATGGTTGAACATTATAACATAAATCAATCGTTTCTGTCCGGGTGTTGAAGAGTTTGTGGATCTGCATTAATAGCGTTTTAATTATTATAGAAGATGTTGTTGTGATTGTGACGTAATGACTGTGTAATAGCCAAGCAACAAGTATTTGTCAAATATGAATTTGACCACAAGAGATTTTTAAAATTATGTTTACTATTAGGGCATTAATAGTGTTTTCCCTGTAGCCACTTTTCTTGTAGTTTTCCCGTCTTCAATGAAAAAATGCAGAATCCCTTTCAAAGTAAATTCACTATGAAGACGTTAATTGGGCATCGTCTAGCTCAGTGATTCCCAAAGTGGGCGATATCGCCCCCCAGTGGGCGAAAACGATACAGAGGGGGGCGAAAAAGTTCAAGGGGGCGATAGGGGGGCGATTTCGCGAAACCTGTTTTATGTTCGGCGCACTTAATTCTGTACTCTGTGTGCATTCGCAGGCTTGAATCATGTGGGCGATTATCGCACGCGAACGGATTGCTGGACTCGTCTTCGCAGTAAGGTACGGTAGTTTGCGTATCCCAGTGGTCGGCAAAATACGGCCGGAGTAAAATAATCTGGCCCGGGAAAATTCTTCCCATACTTTACCATTTTAAAATTTTCGGTGCTTATTTTAAGAATGGTTTCGCGAGTTGTTGCCTGTAAAATGGGATCTTTTTCTTTCAAACTATCATTCTAATACACACCATTCAACAATCTGTTTTTTAAAGTACCGATGAAGAATTTTAGCCTAGTCTACCACAGCTATTTCTACACTAATTTGTGATTGCTGTATTTAATCTGAAACTCATAGGAAGACAAAGTAATCATTGACTTATTTGATTTAAATTTCCGAAAAGCAACTAAAAACTAACGAATATGATTCAAAACGCGAAAATGAGGTAATGTTCACGACCACGCCTGAAAATCTGTCTGAGTGAGCGTGTCTGAGAGCCTGAGCGGATGCGAAAGGGGGCATTGTTACGTTTTTGCATCTTGCTGATTGGCCAATGTCACGAAGTAAACAAGAAAGTCTATGCTCGGGGAAACATCCAAACGGCGGTTTTGACGATGACATTTTTTTATTTATAATCTACGCTCGAGGAGTAAATTAAATTGTTTTACGTAACAGAATTTATCGTGAGACACGTTTGAACTAAATTTTATTATATCCTAAAAATTCCATTGAACAGCTACTCGTTTAACGAGCCTACAATTTAATTATAATTAGACAAATAGAAACACGAAGAGAAGTTGATTCTGAGGGCAGGGGTTCAATAGCACAGTCAATATTCGAATATATTGCAAAGCAATAAGGAAATAAAATTCATATTCTATTCGAGAGATTCATCACTGCTTACTTTTTGTAAGAATGTATCTTCTTAAAGAAAATCTTTATCAAAATTTCACAAATCATGCGAAAATATTCACTTCGATGTTTGGAAGTACATATTTGTACGAACAATTATTTTCGAAAATGAACATCACAAAGAACAAGCAAAGAACTGGGATTAGTGATGCCCATTTAGAAAATGTTTCAATCTTGGCGTCGTAAAGCTATCCAGCGTGATGCAGCAACAAGAGAGTGTCACATTAAATGTCATTGCAATATTTTTTTAATAAGATGACTGAGTTGAGTTCACGAATTGTCGCAGTTTCCGCGCGCTGTTCTGTTTTTAACTTTCAAAAAATATATGCGACCCGCAAAAGACTAGCAACCCTGAATTTTGTCCTGCGAGCGACATAAAATTTGCCGACCCCTGGGCCGTAGTCGATAGTCGGTCACGGCTTCTTCCACATCCGAGTTCATGAATCCAAAAACAAATGGCTGGTTAATTATGGACCGGTGATCAGACTGGAGGCCGTAGTAGAATGAGGAATCGGGGATGAATTTTACCGGAGGATTTTGGTGCAGGTCATCAGGCTGTACGAATGAATGAGATGTACGAAAATCATTATTATAAGTTTTGGAAAATTAACTTTGTTTTCATTATTTTAATGTGAAATGGGGTGAATTTAGGAAGTGAAGTGCCATAAGGCAAGTGTACACGGCGGTTTTTGAGGAGATAGAACCCTGGATTCTTTCATTTACGACCTATTATATAGTGAAAAAGGGGTTTTCAGTCGTGTTACTATTGCTATCAAAACGACGAAATCGCCTTTCCACCAGTAAACGGGGTAATTTTAGATATAATAAAAAAAAAACTCGCTGAAGAACACCAAGCTCATCTATCTCATAAAACACTATAAACTATGATTTGTCTTTTTATTTGGTCTGTAATATATTCGTTTCTGACTTTACATTTTTTTGTATTGCCGGGGGGCGATGAAGTTGTATAAACTACTTTGGGGGGGCGATGGTCAAAAAAGTTTGGGAACCACTGGTCTAGCTAACTTTCTACAATGAAATCTCACAATTAAATTCTGAAGAATACCATACTGCCATTCCCTTTTCTATTGGCGACCCTCCTTTCCAAGAAAAAACAACGCAGCAAACTCTTTCGTGGATAAAAATTTGATAAATGGAAGTAAGATTTTGTTTTAATGTCTTCATTAAATGAACTTGGGATTTTAATTGCTTTGTTGAACTTCGGGTCAAAAGAATCATCAATTCGAAAATCAATTACGATACCCAAACTATTAGAACTTTATTTTGATTACATTAGATAGGTTATAAACAACCATCATTTTTTGAAATCTTAGTCACATTGGTCTTAAATATATTATTGGTACATGGGTCTACTCTGTCGCATTGAGGCTAACGAAATTGTTCTGGCGGAGTGTTGCCTTTGTTGTGAACTTGAAAGCCGGTTGACAGATGATCGAAGAAGCAAGCGCACTCATTTTGGAAAAATCAGTAGAGGAATTGGGCACAGATGAAGATATGGGCCATTCCAAGCAACTGTTGAATTTTATCAATTTTTTTAAAAGTGTAGTAAAATTAATTTTTTATGTCAAAAGACATCGGAATTTTATTGGACCGCGTTCATTTTACTAAAAAAGTTTTCATAGAAACATTTCACCCAGGTTATTGATGGTTTATGAAAAATCACCTGAAATTTTGGTATAATCAACATATTTTGTGATGATTCGTGACACAAAGTGTTTGATTGTGTGATACAGTTATTTCAAATGAAATAGACGCACTGGACTTAAGTTAATAAAGTTTAAATGTTTGCAGTGCTGTAGGACAAGTCTTCACCCATTTAACGATTTATTACCATAATTTTAAGAGATGATAGAGGCCGCTGTTCCGAAGTAGAAAAATGTCCTGTAGTGTCACATACAATATGCACATTATTGGCATGGATTTACCGTGTTACATTAAGTAACTTGAGAAACACATAGAGGGGTCATTCAGCTACTGCACCAGAAAATAACATGGGCTCCTGCAGTAAAAATTTACAGCACAACACAATGTAACGTTAATGCATGGTGCATTTGCAGTTCATTAGAGTCACGCCATATTTTACTATATATTTTATATCCACTGAGTAAGTCTTGTGTGTAACTTTTGTGCAATTTTGTTCAAACTCTGATTAGACCAATGGTTCTCAACCAGTAGGCCATGTCCCACTGCTGGGCCACAGGAACATTTTCAGGTGGGCGACAGACCTATTAAAAATTGCTAGAGTTGTCGATAAAGTTAGATGGTAATTTTCATCTGATTATTGTTAAACTAAAAGTGTCTATTTTCGCAGAAAAAATTCTTTGTTTTTCTTGAAAGTTTTTCCCTCGCATAAAAATGTTAGTGGGCCACAGAATTTTCGTGCAACGAAAATGGGCCACGGAAGAAAAAAGGTTAAGAACCACTGGATTAGACAATGAAACAAAACATGTAGCTAAAGCTGTAAATATATATTGCATCTAATAACATTAAAATTTCTGGAATTGTCCTGTAGAGTCACTTGGAATAGCTCATATGTGGTTTTGCGTCGGGAAAACTGGGATCGCAGTCTAATATTCTACCAGCACGGTAAGGTACCTGTAGAATAAGATAGAATTTTAATATTTATCCCGAAGCAGACCAAAATCCGACAAATCGACTTATTAAATATGGCCTCCCCACGGCCTCTCGTCCTGTAAGAGACTTTGGCGAGTATTTGATTAGATAGCCAATAAATTGTTTCCAGAAAAGTGTGTGGAGACATCGTATTATCGTAGCTTTTTAACTGCCTTATCTACCACGTCACCTGGCTGGAAATTCTAATATTAATTTAAATGATAAACTAATTTACAAGTGACTGCCTCAGAAAATAATGAACACAATTCGTTCGCCGTTTGAAGTTCCTAATTATTTTAATAAACGTTGTTTGATTAGCCTCGGTATTTTGAATGTAATTGGAATTTCCTTGTTTATGCATAACCAAAAAAATTCATTATAACGACATTATGGAGTTTCGAGCATGAATATGGCGTCACAATTGATCGGATGGGCTTCTCAACGAAATATATTGTATGTCACTGAGCGTATTATTTATTCTTCAGTTGAATAGCATTCGCGATGAAACTGTTCGTGTTTAAATCGCATTAGAGTAATATACAATAGTAAAGACTTGTGTCAAGGAAGTCATCAGATGTAGTGAACACTTATAACAAATATTCAAATGGTCATTCAATAAATTGACATTGCGCTATCTTGAGCAAACAAATAACTTTATTCGACACAGAACAAACCTTGTTCTTCAAATAATTTTCTAACCATTTAAATAAAAACTAGACCTTATTTATATACGGTAAACATCTTGAAATAACTGATAAATATGACAATGTTAAAAAATTGGCATCACGGATGCTAAAAGTGTATGACGGTGTATGACGAGTTATTCAAACTACTCAAAGTCGAACGGGGTCGGGGACAGAGCTCTCCGGCGCAACGACCCATGTGCTTCTATCAACTCCCATAGCAAGCGTCCCCTTTTACTTCATTCAAACTGTCCCTTACGTTTCTCCTCGCGGGTGGCGACTTCTTCTGGATAATGACCCGTTAGAAGAGTATTCCCTCTATTATTTTTTCTTTTATATAAACCTTTTAAGAACATTGTTGGTTATGTTTTCTAGATCCAAACAGTCTGTACATGCATATACTCTGTCTATTTCTAAATAAATATAAGGTGTATCACTTTTGTCAGAGAAAATACAATATGATATGTTTCATTCAACGGATTTTTTATTTACAATGTTCAAAAGAATAAAATTGAATTGAAATTTATTAACAATTTAATAAAACTAGACGGAAGGTTTGATAGCTAACTTGCTTAAAATTCACCTTATAAATTTATAAAAATTGGGTATGAAAACTGAAAAAGCTATTGCTCAAGTACTTGAAAAGAAATCGATTTTTGTTTCCATAATAATTTAAAATATCTATGTCTACTTTGTGTTCGATTGATTATCTTACTTCAGAATGCCTACCGGGCATGTTAACACTCTTCAGTATGTATAGATGCAAAATCATAGGAATTAGTTAGAAAATCAACAACAATATGAATAACATCTCTATTATCAACTTATTCAACTAATCTCTCCAATTCTTTTTTTTTCTCTTGCACTTGAGACATTTCCGGAGGCTCTTTCTAAAAATAAGCGGCATGGAAGTATAATAAACGACTTAACTGTTTGTTGATATTTGAAAAAAATTTTAAATCTGTTTTCATACTTTATACAAGCTCGCAGGTATTTTTCAGACTTCTTTAGACCGGTATAATATTACAAGAAGGAATAATGTTCAACTTTCTTTTTGCCCGGTCCGATGTTTTTATAAAATCACCGATTTTGCACAACAATTTTATTGCTTTTACTAGCTGCTTAGCCAATAGTTGCAATGTACCTTGTAAATAAATCAAAGCATGAAACTTAGTAAACACGTACCCTGTTCATATCCAACCATTGAAAAATATCATCCAGTTTGTTCATCATAGATTTTCTTTGTTCTCTTGTGAGCAGTTTTTCTTCCACTTCTTCTTTTACGCTATACGCGTAATTTTCACAATCATTCATTGCCTCGATTCGCTGTTTTAGCTCTTGGTCTTTTTTTCTAAATTTCTCCGCTTCCTGCACCTTGATAGAAAATTTATTTATTTGTGCTCAAGCAACATTGAACATAGAATAGAAAGCGTTATTGGCAGAACCTGATGATGGCTATTTCAGAGAATTATCTCTGATCGTATTCTTTTACAGAATAGAATCTATGAGTCCAGATTGTTAACCATTGATGTACAGCCTCAGTTCTACTGCAACTTTGTTTCGCCACTTTCAAAATGTTAATATTATAATATTTATACGTTTCAACGCTAATACTTAAAATATAATTATCGATACAGTGCTAGAATAGTGGGATTTGTCTTTACGCATTGTTATAGAAAAAAATTGTTTTGAGTTTATTATTTGATACTTAACACAATACACGATTACGCTGTAGTCTCATTTCTTTTTATATATATTTTTAGCAAAAGTTGAAAAAAATCCCATAGATTACCATTCGTTTTATCTCACTCTCACTCAATCGTCCTTTGTCTCTTGCGATCGTTATTTCACTTGAATTTCCAGTGATTTCCTCAATCGCTTTGACATGAAGAATTCCACTTGCGTTAATTTCAAGAAACGCTTTGACTATACCCTTTCCCTTTGGTGCGGGAGGAATTCCTGAGATAGTGAATTTTCCAAGAAAATGATTGTCTTTGACCAGAGTGCGCTCACCTTCATAAATCTGCAACATTACATTTCAAAATTATTAATTTTATATGTCAACTAGGACAACATGTGGCATTTGTAACATATCGTGTAGACTCGCCTTTAATGTCGCTGCTGTTTGGTTATCTTCCACGGTGACTCGGTGTTTCCATACTTTGATTGGAATCTTCGTGTTTCGCGGAATAGCAAGAGTCATTGTTCCGTTCTGATTTTCGATGCCAATAGAAAGTGGAATAACATCTTCAAGAGCGAATTCCTTCAGCTGAGATAATTGAAATATTTTTTAACCGTCAACAATTTAACCGCATCATAAATCCCCATTTCATAGATTAAACAGTTCTTTGCGTAAGCATCAGTGTAATGAATTAAAAACTTGAATGATGCATTATTTTGATAATGGATGCTGTGTATCTTGTTGTTGTTGTTTTTTCAATTTATTGCTTTTATGGTATTTGCTGCGCCAAATGATTTTAGAATTACCTAACAAAATGTGGTGGTAACTGATTACTTTTACTTTTGGGGATCCACAACCATCGTTTTTTGTGAAGTAGGTAATTTTTTGTTTTAACTTTGTACAGAGGTTATTTAAATAACTTGTTGTTATTTCTTATCGAATTCGAGATTAAATTTTTCTCTTATATGATCTTTCAACGAAATAGACACTGTTTCAAGTTGTGTTGATATCTTATAACCAACATAGCCTAGATATTTGTCAAAAAAATTGGATTCTTGATTTTAGAAGCATCACGTTCGTGAGCGCCGTTGCAACTCTGCTTCAGAGAGTTATTATACACGAGTTTAAATCAGCAGTAACATACAAAGCGTGTGTGTGTTTCCGAATAAAATTTATTTACTGAACGTCGTGGCTGCTTTATAAACGATTGTACTGAAAACCAGTGTAAAGTTTGGTGTAAACCAGTGTAAAGCGGTACAAAGTTATCAAAAAACGTCAACTTACAGCAGGATCCTCGTCAGAACCAAGTGCAAACGCATATGCGGCTGCACCATAAGCAACTGCTTCGTCAGGATTGATATTTCTTTTAAGCTCCATATTGTCAAAATATTTTTCCAATATTTCTCGAATTTTTGGAATTCGCGTGGAGCCTCCGACAAGAACAACGTCGTCAATCTAAATAGTACATTTTTTATTTTGTATTAGAAAGGTTGCAAATTATTTTTAAGAAATTTGACATACTTCATTAACGAATGTTATCTGTATTGTGGACATGGCAATTCACTTGCTTCAAATATTGTAAATAATAAGACATAATAGAATTAGACATTGCCTAATCTTACCATACGTTTTAATTTGTCGATAAAACTATTTTAATTCGGCAAAATTATTAGTCATATATATATATTTTGATCGGAAGTTCTATGCTAAGAATAATATGGCTATTAGTTATTTATTACAAGGAGCGCAACGCTCGGTTGTATAAATACCGAGTTGATTTTTCAAAAAATAAAACAATTTTTCTGGTGGAAGACCTTTTAAAGGACAGAAAACAAACATGGGAAATATTTTAATTAGATAAAAATATATAGATTTTGCACAGCCCTATTTTGATTCGTTAACCATTTAACAACGCTAAACCGATCAACCATCCTGTGTACTCTTGTATTATATGGTACTCGTTAAGTAGCATTATCGAAATACGCTATTTTAATCAAGAAAACATATTGTTAACCAAGTCAGCCGAAAATTGATGAATGGGATTTTACCGTTATTGTATTCTGTGCATACTGTTACAAAAACTCAGTCGTCGAATTGTTAAATAGTACTACTGAAAGCGATTGGTCTAGTCTAGCAGTTGCAGAGAAATGTTTTCAATGTTTTTTAAAGCGATCCACACATCGAATAGCTAAGCGAAATGTGGACAACTAAAATTTACATGAAATCAAATGCTTTGAATATGCTAATGCTTCATGCATGTCTCACATTTTCTTTTTTTACTCCAGAATCGGAAAGAGTATTCTTCACGGTATCAAGAACTCTCTCGAAAAAATTGCTGTTCAGATTTTCAAATTTTGCTCTTGAAATATTGCTGCGAAAATCGTATCCGCCTTGCAAAACATCGAGTTGAACCCTTCGAAAGCAAAAGTACGACATAAGTATGTTCGAGCCTTTTAAACCATTTAACTAGCTTGTAAATAACCCCGGTGTTAAACTAGACCGAATTCAACTTTAAAAAGCAATAAAGTTCCGTTATAACTCCAGGCTCTTAACCCATTTTTTTACCAGTTTCAGCATACGGCATACCACTCAATTTGGGGTTTAGTAAATTGTGCTTGAAAGCGTGAAAATATTTAACAAATAAATACAGGTGAATGTAATAAAAAATAATATTGCGCAATAACGATGAACTATAACATACTTAGCCTGTTTTGACGAAGACAATTTTCTTTTTGCTCCCTCACACGCCACTCGAAGACGATTCAATGCTCTTTTGTTTTCTGAAATATCTTCACCGTGTTTTTCTTTGAACTCAGAAACAAAATACTTCATGAGTTTGTTATCAAAGTCTTCACCTGCATAGAGAGATGTGGGTTAAAATCAGTGCAAAATCTCTAAAACAAGAGATTATTCTCAATAATCATAATGAACCACTACCTACATAACGAGTACATATGGTTAACGAGTTCAAAATGTGTTCAGTACTAATATAGGAGGTTTTAATATAAACACATAAAATATGTTTTTATCTTACCTCCCAAATGAGTGTCACCTCCCGTAGCCTTCACGTCAAATTTGCGACCTTTAATTTTCACGATGTTTACGTCAAAAGTACCTCCTCCGAGATCAAATATGAGTACATTCCGCTATTTTTCGCTGTGTGTGATTAACTCTCAAAAATTACAGTGTACATACTGCATTGTTTGGAATCAAGTTCATTTAAGCCTGAATGAAAGTCGTTCGTCTGGAACTATTGATTGCTTTAATTGAGGAAACAAAATGATATAGTTCCTGTTCATCTTACTTCCCCTTTTTCAATAAAAATTCGATGCTCTCGTGTTTTTACGTCAATTTTCAAACGACTGATTTGATATCTGTGTGTGTGTTTATTAATTCTATTGATCCCGGGATTAGCAGAAGTTGAATTACTTGAGGTCCACGGAAGTACGGATTCGAAATATTGTAAAAGTTGATTTTTTCTTAGTAAATCTTTGAAGGGTAGACACTTCTTTTTTGATCCGATGGATTGACTTTTTTGAATTATAGCTAGTGGCAAGTCTAAATTCAATTCTACAATTTCGTGCTGCCGAAATTGTGAATGACATGCATTCATAACTGCAAGTACATTTGTTGGTCTAACGTTCAATACTCCACCTTATATTTTGTCGATCTACTTTTGGGTGCTGATGCTGCTCTGATATCCTAGTTCTCTTTATTACTTTTACACCGATCTTAACAACATTCGATTTACACTGAAATTTCTTAAAGTAGCGGCAGCACCAATGAATGGCATATGAAACCTGATTAGTTCGCTTACAATATTCGTGATTATTACGTCGTTTTCTTTTGACGTCTGTGAAAATAAAAGCACCATGTGAGCTACTTCTTTTTGCAACTTGCTTATCTTCGCGAACAGCAAAGTCTTCGGAAAACAGCTTTGGAGTTGTCTGCGAGCGGAAATAGATAATCGAGGCGAGAGAATTCTTTGCGCGGAATCGAACTACTAACACATCACCTAACAAATTGTAAATGGTATCATGCATTCGAGTTTGCATGCACATAATCGAGAATTTCATGATTATAAGTGGTATACATGGGTAGAAAGATTCCTAAGTGTCGTTTTTTAATTTATGAAAGTTTGAGGGTGTGTATGTAAATACGGTAATATCCGTAGATGGACGTTGTGTGCAAAGGTAAGGTGTTGGAAATGTCCGCGGTTGCAAATGTCCGTGAGTGCAAATGTACATGTTGTGGAAATATTAATAGGTGGTAGTGTACATGAATGAAATCTGTATGTGGGTTCTAAAATCAGCGGGTGCAATTGTCCTGAGTGCAATGTACGTGAGTGCAAAGATAATGGAATCGCTTTTAATTGTTTTCATCAATATCAAACAAATTTTACCGAACTTGTAATAGATTACAATTTCTCTTACAATTTCTTTTTTTTTTTGCTACCAACATTTAAGCTATTTATTAACAATTTTAATCCTATTGATTACACAGAACCTCAGAATACAATAAGAACAAACGAACGCTGCTTAAAAAATTACACCAACGGCAATTTTTGTGGTAAAGAAAACAATTACACTTCAAAGCGTGCTGATATGTAATGTAGAATACTTGCTACCAACATTTAAGCTCTTTTTTGACAATTTTATTATTATTGATTGATTATATACATAAAACAAAATACAATAAAAACAAACGAACTGCTTAAAAAATTTCACCAACGGCAATTTTTGTGGTCTCTATTGCTGCAAGCTGCATAACCGCCGAGCTTGAAGCTCTTTATATATATATGTTTGGATCTTTTATATATATATGTTTGCAGACAGACACTCGCTAATTTCTTTTACTTATATTGCTTCTCCACACTTTTCCATTTCCCTGACAGCCACTCTGGCCTTTTTGCTGGCTCTCCAGAAACCTTTTCGCCCGGTTGTTGTTGAAGTTGTCGGACCGTTAAGTCTCTACACAATCTCTCATTTTCCTGACTCCCTGGCCTTCTTTCAGCTGGCCTTCTGGAGGCTCTCCGCAGCTATTTTTTCCCTTTGTCAATTGAGTGTTAAATTTTTCCACTTGCATTCCGAGTTTCTCTCTACACTTTTTCATGTCCCTGACACTTCTCACTTCTCACTTGACGGTGCATTCCGATTCCGATGTCCCAGTTTTTTCAAGCCTCTTTCCTTGGCGGATGACGTTCTTGATGATTTCTTATCCATTTCCTTATCCATTTCTTATCCTGCTGGCTCTGCAGTTCTTTAACGTCAACTTTTCTGCCATTTCCTTCCCCAATGGTTCTCTTCTCCTCGCAGACACTCGCCGCTGCCGGCTTTTTTGTTCCTTTCTTTTTCCCCCTTTACCCTTACTGATTCTGCCGTACAACTCGGTTTGGTTCTACACTCTGCCGGCTCCCTAGGTCTTCTTCTTTCTTTTTCCCCCTTTTTCCTTACCCTTTCTGATCCTGCACTACAACTTCTGGGCGCGGCGGTGTGGCTCAACGGGCTAAGCGTTAGGAATACGCTCGCCACCGCACCTCTAATTACTCTGCGTGGGTTCGCAGGTTCGAATCTCATTCAGGGATGGTTATGTGCGAGAGGATTGCTGGACTCCTCGCCGTCGTTGGGTGGTTCGCGTAACCGCTGGTCGGTTACGGCTTCCTCCACCACCAAGTCCATGCTTCCGAAAAAAAAAAAAAAAAATACAGTAAAAAACTAATCCCATACCCGACTTGGAATGGTAACCGGACGAGAGGCCGTGGTTCGCCATATGGATAAGCCGTCTTATCGGCTTTCCTCTCCCCCGGGATAAATATGTAAATCCTATCCTATCCTATCCTATCCTATCCTTCCCTACAACTCGATGGGATTCGAACCTCTAATACCTGGCCTAATGTTCGATCTAAAGTCTCCTCGCTTCCCCTGAGCCACGGCTACTGACGAGGATGGAGCGGATTAGAATCTTACTTATTTTAACAACGTCACGCATGGCAGCTCACAACAAGGCTAATTAACTTAATAAGATAATTTGAGAAGTGAATCCGCAAATCAAATTCCTTACGTTTAGTAAGCCTTTTCATACTCCACAAACAGATTCAAGTTAATATTTGAGAATTTTAATTCAACCGGCCAATATCGAGGTTCATGTTGTTTGACCGTTTCTAATCTGTGAACTGTTCTAAATATTGACAATTGAAAATCGTGTATATAAATTTCTGTAGTACCCAGTTTCATTGGTGCCCTAAGCACCTGCTTACATTGCTCAATGCAGTGGTTCCCAATCTTTTCCGGTGACCCTTCCCCACTCGCCCCAGCCTGCCAGCACTGGACTATTCATAATTATATCTAAGTCATTGAGTCTTATTTGACTGTTCTAAATTAAGTTTTTAAATTTGCAAATACACATTTGTCGCCTTTTGCTGCTTCATGATCATTACTGGGGACATTGATTCTTGAATTTCTGTTTCGATCACGCTTGCACAATTGTGATGTCACAGAGAGAGTTCAAATGATTTCATTGCAGGTTAACTAACTGCAGAGGTGTAGCCAGAGAGGCACTGAGTTTTAGTTTTTAGCTGTTACATTTAGCCCTTGGCATACAGTAACGGTAGGCCTATATTTTTACGTTATTAGTTTTGTAATGTTATTTTCAAGATGTATTCTAAAATTAAAAATGATATAAGACGAATCATATATATTGTTAGGGTTTATCGTGATAAACTCAGGTGGCAAAGAGTTGTTTTTCACTAAACCGTACCGCGCATTTATTATCTTTTAAGGTTTTATTTATAGTGCCAAGGCCGTCAATCATTAAAAAAGGGGTACGTCATAGAATTTTTTTGAAAATGTTTGGGAATCACTGGTATAGGCAATAAAACAAACGTCGGTGAAAAAAAGTCTTTCACGTTCATTATTATTCCGTGGATCACAAATAAAATCGCAAGCTGGTTCATATTTTTACGTGTTGCCATAAGTTTATAGGAACATGTTTATAGGGTACTTCCGTGGTATGTGATCCTGGTTAGGGTTGGGTCATAATTTCATTCAGATTTTCCTTATTTTAGTTCAATTACAAAATCGTGTTCTGCCTGTGTTAGGCAAAGTAAATATATCCCTGATCGTAGGTTTCAGTCCTTTGATGTACAGAACTGCGTGACGAAACTAAGCATTGCCTCATATAAATCGTCAAATTATCAATTGCACAAGTTTTCATGCAGAATGAGACATACTCATGGGGGCAGTGTGACTTGTCACCACACTATCTCAAGCGACTTTTCAAAAACGTGTCAAAGAACAAGAACAACAACATAATATTGAAACGATCGCTATGTCCACTACGTGTCCAATATTCATTCGAGTTCATCTCCAACCATGATTTTAGACGTTTTTTTCTCGGTTTTGCCTGTCGAATACTTTATCATCCTCATTACTGTTCGCTTTAAATCTATTCAGTTTAGTTGAGTGATCCAACCTAAATTGATATTTAATTTTCTCTCTCTCTTTCTCATTCATCTCATGACTTTTCAATTAAATCTCTACGTCCAATATTACTCTTAGCCAGTAGAGATTCATCACAATCACCCTTGTCTGTCTGTTTTCTAGTAATGTAACTCTATCTTATTTAATCAAATATATTGTCAGGCTATTATTTAATTCGTGAATTTAGTTCAGTCCTTCATTATTCAATTTGTTATTTAAATACTCTTGTACTAATACACCTTAAATAAGTGTATTCTTCAAACGCATGGGCCTTAGATTAATCGACGATCATAAGGTTGTGGTGTTGTTTGTTATCGCACTTTGTTTGCTCTGAAATATCATAGCATCGGGGTCACGCTGACTAACGTTTATTTCGCGTGACACATTTCTGTAAGCATCTATATTGATTTTAATACCTGACTGAGCAAAACTTTTAAAATCTACAAGATATCGTAAATTCACATACAGGAAGAACATTTATGTCTCAATATATATATATATATATTTAAAAAAAATTCTTTTACAATTTCCCGTTGAACTTCGTCATAAACATTCTTGTCTTTCATTCATCATTGGTTTATTTTCCGTATGTAAGTTTGCTCAATTTCAAATGACAAATAAGAATGATATCCGAGTCTGTCGTTTGGTAAAAAGTTACTCGTGAAGATGTGATGTGTACAAGTGTCACGGTGTAGCCAATCGCTAGTTTAAAGAGAGTATACAAATATGTAACTGTCGTTCCATTTTCGTATTTTGGGCATGAGGAATTTACAAATGGGTTTTTTCATCTATAATAGGCTAGCAAAGGTTATCTCGCAGTTTCTTGAAACTGCCTACCAGCAAACTATTTTGATAGGTAGATTCCCAATTCCATAATGATCAAACAATTCACGCACAAAAAAAGTGAAATAATACACTGTGATCGCAAAAACCTATTCAGATAATGAAACTGCGGCCTGAACGGGGAATTCTATTTCAAAAGAAAAGTCTGCAAATGAAGTCGCTTTATGATCAATTATTATCCTTGTGACGTGGCCGGCCTTAAAGTACTTCGTGCCCCCTTAGGGAGTCACCGGTTGAGAACCACTGTTCTAAACCATTTAATCATAGTTAAATAGATTGTAAATAATCTCGGTGTTGAACTAAATTGAATTCAATATTGAAGAAAAAAAGAAAATATCTATTTCCGTCATTACTGCAGGCTTTTACTGTTTATATTTTCACAGCAATTTTTGAAACCAATTTTTACCAGTTTCAGCATACGGCCAACACTTGATCCAGGGTTCAGTAAATTGAGTTTGGAAACGGGAAAATATTTAACAAATAAATACAGGTGAATGTAATAAAAATAATATTGCGCAATAACGTAGAACTATAACATACTTAGCATGTGTTGAAGAAGACAATTGTCTTTTTCACCTTCGCACGCCACTCGAAGACGATTCAATGTTCTTTTTTTCTGAAACTAACCTTCGCCGTAAGCTTTTTTGACACTCAGATAACGAAATTGCTTCATGAAGAATTTGTTATGAACGTCGTTTACCTGCACAGCGAGATGTGGGTTAAAATCAGTGCAAAATCTCAAAAACAGAGATTGGTCATAATAATCATAATTAAGCGCTACATATCTGTGGCTCCACTAAATATGGCTTAATAAGGTTCAAAGTGCATTTCCACGGTAAAAGATACGCCAAGGTTTCACTATGAACGCATAAAATATATTTGTATCTTACCTCCCAAATGAGTGTCACCTCCCGTAGCCTTCACGTCAAATTTGCGACCTTTAATTTTCACGATGTTTACGTCAAAAGTACCTCCTCCGAGATCAAATATGAGTACATTCCGCTATTTTTCGCTGTGTGTGATTAACTCTCAAAAATTACAGTGTACATACTGCATTGTTTGGAAGCAAGTTCATTTAAGCCTGAATGAAAGTCGTTCGTCTGGAACTATTGATTGCTTTAATTGAGGAAACAAAATGATATAGTTCCTGTTCATCTTACTTCCCCTTTTTCAATAAAAATTCGATGCTCTCGTGTTTTTACGTCAATTTTCAAACGACTGATTTGATATCTGTGTGTGTGTTTATTAATTCTATTGATCCCGGGATTAGCAGAAGTTGAATTACTTGAGGTCCACGAAAGTACGGATTCGAAATATTGTAAAAGTTGATTTTTCTTAGTGAATCTTTGAAGGGTAGACACTTCTTTTTTGATCCGATGGATTGACTTTTTGAATTATAGCTAGTGGCAAGTCTAAATTCAATTCTACAATTTCGTGCTGCCGAAATTGTGAATGACATGCATTCATAACTGCAAGTACATTTGTTGGTCTAACGTTCAATACTCCACCTTATATTTTGTCGATCTACTTTTGGGTGCTGATGCTGCTCTGATATCCTAGTTCTCTTTATAACTTTCACACCGATCTTAACAACAGTCGATTTACACTGAAATTTCTTAAAAAGTAGCGGAAGCACCAATGAATGGCATATGAAACCTGATTAGTTAGCTTACAATGTTCGTGATTTCTGTAGATCAGTATGTCGTTTTCTCTTGAGGCCTGTGAAAACAGAAGCACCGTGTGAGCTACTTCTTTTTGCAACTTGCTTATCTTCGCGGACATCAAAGCCTTCGAAAAAAAGGATTGGAATTGTCTGCGAGCGGAAATAGATAATCGATGCGAGAGAATTCTTTGCGCGGAATCGAACTAACACATCAATTAAAAAATGGTAAATGGTATCATGCCTTCGAGTTTGCATGCACATAATCGAGAATTCCATGATTATAAGTGGTATACATGGGTAGAAAGATTCCTAGTGTCATTTTTCAATCTATGAAAGTTTGAGGGTGTGTATGTAAATACGGTAATATCCGTAGATGGACGGCTGTGCAAAAGTGCAAATGTACGTGAGTGCAAAGGTAAGGTGTCGGAAATGTCCGCGGTTGCAAATGTCCGTGAGTGCAAATGTACATGTTGTGCAAATGTTCATAGGTGCTCGTGTACATGAATGAAATCTGTATGTGGGTTCTAAAATCAGCGGGTGCAATTGTCCTGAGTGCAATGTACGTGAGTGCAAAGATAATGGAATCGCTTTCAATTGTGTTCATCAATATCAAACAAATTTTACCGAACTTGTAATAGATTACAATTTCTCTTACAATTTCTTTTTTTTTTTGCTACCAACATTTAAGCTATTTATTAACAATTTTAATCCTATTGATTACACAGAACCTCAGAATACAATAAAAACAAACGAACGCTGCTTAAAAAATTACACCAACGGCAATTTTAGTGGTAAAGAAAACAATTACACTTCAAAGCGTGCTGATATGTAATGTAGAATACTTGCTACCAACATTTAAGCTCGTTGTTGAATCTTATTGATTGATTATATACATAACCCCAGAATACAATAAAAACAAACGAACTGCTTGAAAAATTTCACCAACGGCAATTTTTGTTAAAGCTGCATAACCGCCGAGCTTGAAGTATCTGTTTGCAGACAGACGACACTCGCTAATTTCTTTTACTTCACACTTTTGCATTTCCCTGACAGCCACTCTGGCTTATCTTCTTCCCTTTTTGCTGGCTCTGGTTGTTGTTGAAGTTGTCGGACACTCGCTGATTTCATTCCACAATCTCTCATTTCCCTGACTCCCTGCAGCTATTTTTTTTTCTTTTGTCAATTGAGTGTTTTCATGTCCCTGACACTTCTCACTTAACGGTGCATTCCGATTTTCTCTCTACACTCTTTCATGTCCCAGTTTTTTCAAGCATATTCTTCTTTCCTTGGCGGATGACTCTCTCTTTGCCATTTCTTATCCTGCTGGCTCTCCAGTTCTTTAACATCAACATTGCCATTTCTGGTTCTCCTTCCTCGCAGCCACTCGCTGCTGCCGGCTCCGTCTTTTTTGTTCCTTTCTTATTTCCCCTTTGCCCTTACTGATCCAGCACTACAACTCGGTTTGGTTCTACACTCTGCTGGCTCCCTAGGTCTTCTTCTTCCTTTCCCCCCTTTTCCCTTACCCTTTCTGATCCTGCACTACAAGTTCTGATCCTGCCCTACAACTCGGTGGGATTCGAACCCCTAATACCTGGCCTAATTTAAGCTTAATCTTGTTGGCTGTGAGGATCTGTGGATAAGTGTCAAACTAAACAATGGCAAACAAGCGTTTATTGCAGTTATATATAGACACCCCAAACAAGATCGCAAAATTTTTTACACATTGTTAAATGAGTCGATGCACAAAATTATGGCAAACAAGAAAATAGTTTTTTTTCTTGGTGACTTTAACATAAATTTGTGCAAAACTTCTGATTCTTTCGTTTTGGAATACTCAAACATGTTACTGTCAAATTCATTACAAGTGTTAATATCTGCGCCCACCAGAATCACTAATAATTCTTGTACATTAATTGATCACATATACAGCAACGAAAATGAATTACAGTTGCTAGGTTATGCCTTGTGGTATGATATTTCTGACCATCTACCTATAGTGTGTATAATTCGCAATACGACCTTAAGAAAGAACTCTGAGACTAAATTTGTGCGATCATTGAAGTATTTCCAACTTGACTCTTTTTTAGAAGATATTGAAAACTCAGCAGCTGAATTAGACATTTCCAATACACACAATCCTGATATCGAAAAAACATTTGATACGCTTTTGGAAATTCTGAAATCAGCTGTTGACAAACATGCTCCGCTGAGAAAAAAAACGCGTAGAGAACTGAGATTCGACTCGAAACCGTGGTTTACGATAGGTATCAAAAAATCAATCGCGACTCGTAAACGTTTATATAAAAGTCATTTTTTATCCATGGACAAAACAAAAATAAGATATTACAAAAGATACTCTAACATTCTTACACATATCAAGAAAAAGGCTAAAATAAAATTTTATCAAGAAAAATTCAAAGAACTAGAGGGTGACACAAAAAAGACATGGAATCTCATTAACACAATCACTAATAAGAAGCATAAACAAAAATTTCCACACGAAATTGAGACAAATTATGGCATTATATGCAACTACCAGTCCATATGCGAAGAATTTAACACTTACTTTGTAAACGTTGGTCCTAATCTTGCATCAAATCTGACAAATAATTCTATAAATTTTATGAAATATTTAGGCGAACCCCAGAAAAATTCAATTTATCTGGAGCCTATACTAGAATATGAAATTATTTCACTTGTAAACAAAATGGATTCAAGAAAAGCTTCTGGTCCGGACGGCCTGTCTATTCGTTTTCTAAAAATGATGATTCATATCATTAGCAAGAATCTTACAGATATCTTTAATACATGCATGCAGCATGGAGTCTTTCCGCAATGCCTGAAAGTGGCAAAAGTGACGCCTGTGTTTAAATCAGGAGATCCAAGCATAGTAAGCAATTATCGACCAATTTCAGTTCTTCCAGCTGTAGCCAAACTTTTCGAAAAACTATTACACATCAGATTGGCAGAATATCTGGACAAATTTGACATTTTGTCAGATAAACAATTCGGTTTTAGACTTGAACACTCAACAATTCACGCGGTTTTAGACAGTGTTACTCATCTATATATGAATATTGCTGAAAAACAACATTCGGTTAACATTTACGTGGACTTAAAAAAAGCTTTTGATACAATTGATCACTCAATATTACTGCACAAACTTCATCATTATGGTATAAGAGGTAATGCACTGGCGTTGATAAAAAGTTACATAAGTGAACGTATGCAATATGTCAGTTTTGGTAATGTTAGATCTACTTCACAAAATGTTAGTATGGGCGTACCACAAGGTTCTGTTTTGGGGCCTCTATTGTTCATAATCTATGTGAATGATATCCATAATTCCAGTAAATTTTCGACACATCTTTTTGCTGATGACACTTCTTTCAAACTTTCGAGATGTTCCATTCACCAATTAGAAACCGATTGCAATTCTGAGCTCTCAAAGATTGGCAAATGGATGCACTCCAACAAGCTAACTGTGAATCCCCAGAAGACTAAATACATTGTAATTTCTAAGAATGATCGTGCAAGCGTAAATCTATATCTTGATGGTTTTAAGCTGGAAAAAGTAAAAAAAGCTTCTTACTTGGGACTTGAAATTGATTGTTGCTTGAACTGGAGTAGTCACATTGAACTGCTATCAAAAAAGTTAGCACGAGCCGTTGGAACGCTGAGTAAGCTACGTGGATTGGTCTCACAAAAAACTCTTCTACAAAAAAAAAAAAAAAAAAAAAAAAAAAAAAAAAAAAAAAAAAAAAAAAATAAATTTATTACAGTCTCTTTTTTCACATATGTCTTATGGTATAATAATATGGGGTTGTTCGGCAAAACAGCATCTGAAAAAGCTCAGTGTACTGCAAAACAGAGCAATTCGCATAATTTCCAATAGCAGTTACAAAGAAAATACAACACCGTACTATTATAAACATAAACTTCTTAAACTTAATGACTTATATCGTTATGAAGTTGCAAAATTTATGTACCGTACGAAACAAAACTGTTCTCCAAATACTTTTATGAATTATTTTCAAAACATAGGTTTAATCCACAATCATGGCACAAGATACTCACAGCACAACCTATTTGTTCCAAGGTCAGACTCATCGATTTTGCAAAAATCCATATTGTTCCAAGGTCCGGTTATTTGGAATGAAATTAGTCAGGAAATAAAAGACTGCAGCTATGCATGCTTCTGCCGCAACCTTTTTAAAAAAATATATCGATAGCTACAAGTGACACATACTCGCACCATCGGTCGCTGTTGGTAGGAGGACAAGAAATTACTGTGTTTTAACCCTACTCCGCCAGTCGCTCTGTGGCCATTTTACATGGG